TCCACATGCCTTAAAATTGTCAAGGTTGAGAAACACTGGCCTAGAGGAATATATATTCTTGTTGAGTATTCCAAGCATCTGATCAAAATGATATCTAAATGGGTGCAATTTTATTTGTTCCAGTTGAGGACTGCCAGTTCTAAGAAATGTTTTTTCAAAGATTCCCTAAAAACATGTACAATGCACACTGCACTAAGACAGTTACATTTGGAATTTAGATGGGAAAAGAATGAATAAAGATAGGAACCACTATAGAATAATAGTTAAAATGTTGGACTAGAGTAATGGAGTGCCAGGTTCAAGTCCATTCACAGCTTTGATAATCTTGGGCCAGTCATACTTTCTCAGCCCAAATTATTCCACATTGTTATTGTAAGAAAAAAAAATATGTACACAGTCTTAAGTTCCTGGAACAAGTATAGGATGTTGATATGTGCTTTGTAGAGCTTGAAGTGAAAAATATATAATATAGAACATTTCCTATTGATCAGAAGGAAAAAAGGATACTGAATCTTTTCTGATATCTATATAGAAGCTTAAGATTCAAATTAAATTTTATTTACAACGATTCTTCTGGGCTTGCTGTTTTTTGATATAATGAAGGGAAATAATATGGCTTAATTAATTATAATGATTATCTCTAGGGGAGCACCGTGAATATGAATATTATGGGATGGGTGTACTGGAAAGTTCACGATCTGTTTGGTTCTACAGGCCATACCACTCTGGGCATAGCACTCTTGATAGGTTAGTAAATATTTTTACCGTTTACAAAAATAATGTATTTTTTATTTCAGGAATTGAAAATCTGTTGTTAAACTTATCAATTTTCAGTTTTATCAAGCTTGTCCTTCATGCAGATTGCAGCATTTCTTAACCTTGGCTGCTTTAAAGATGCGTAGACTTCTCCCAGAATTCCCCAACCAGCATGCATTGCAGGAGTTACCATTTTCATCCCTTATGGATTTCTACTTTGAAGCCTTAGCATTGCCTGAAGGCTTCAAAAGCCTTCACTCTGGCGTGCTCTCCAGATATTGCCACTCTATTGTAATGCTTCATGTGATAAAAGCAAAACATTGTTTATAAAATGGATATTGAATGCTTTGCATATTTAATTTAAATGGAATCAGGTTCTGATTTGATACTGACGCAACCCATTTCCTTTGCCCCATTGTTCTTTGCACTGTTATCCCCAATAAGCCACTTAAGACTTAGTGTGATCCCTGGCATGAAAAAAAATATCCTCTACACAATTTATACCTGGGTTCTTTATTTTCAGGGCCTCATCTTGAAATATTTTTGTGATATAATGCTAATGATTTTAGCAATTGGTTTGATAAAGCCATTGGTAGATAGATTCCACATTCATTTATACTGTGTATATACTTTATACACATTATACTGAGAATGTGTAGAACTGTAAACCAATTTTATGCTCATTTATGGCATAAATGTTATTAATTTGCTTTCTGTTCTATTAATTGCAGGTGGTATTACATGTATCTTTTCACTAGTTTGTGCTCTTATTCTTGCTTACCTGGACAAAAGAGCAGAGAAAATTCTTTGCAAAGAACAAGGGAAAACTGGTATGTTGGTCTCCTTCATTGCCTCCTTCCTCTAAGTATGTGAAAACTCAGAATAGGATGATTGATTTGCTCATCTTGGCCATAAAGTGTTTGAGTACCAGGCTTTACTCTGGTTGGGAAATTAAACAATTTTTAGCTTCTTTCCTTGCTGTGGAGCTTTTTTGCTGATAACATGAATGATCTGTGACTTGTTTTTTACAATGAAATATATGAGCCACTTAAATATGAGCCAGCAGTGTGCTGCAGCTGCCAAAAAAGCTAACACAGTGCTAGGCTGCATTAACAGGGATAGAATCAAGATCACGTGAAGTGTTAATACCACTTTACAATGCCTTGGTAAGGCCACACTTGGATACTGCATCCCAGTTTTGGTCACCATGATGTAAAAAAGATGTTGAGGCTCTAGAAGGAGTACAAAGAAGAGCAACAAAGATGATTAGGGGACTGGAGGCTAAAACATATAAGGAACGGTTGCTGGAATTGGGTATGTCTAGTTTAATGAAGAGAAGGACGAGGGGGGACATGATACCAGTGTTCCAAAGAAGAGGGAGTCAAGCTATTGTCCAAAGCACCTGAAGGCAAGACAACTGCTTCCCCTGAAATGCAATACCATAATTTTCATTTCTATAAATTCTTTTAAATTGCATCCCAAAGTCACAGCAAAGTCCATCACTGCCTCTTCTCTGTATCCTTGTAAATTTTCTTTAATTGTTTCCCATCACCATACTTTTTCATTTCTATAAGTATTAAAATTGCATCCCAAAATCACGGCTAAGTCCATCT